CCTCTTAATAGCTAAGTGGATACACTTTACACCTTTTTGGGATAGTATGACCCGCTATTAAACTAAGAGTATACACTCTTTGGGCTTATGAACTCAGCAACTAGGCTCTGCGTCTTCGGCGAAGGAAGCGGCCTGGAGGGGTCCTTTTTTTCTTTCCTCTGGGCTAGGCTCAGTCTAGGTTGAGGTATTAGGGTTTAGGTATTGGGGTTTAGGGTTTAGGGTTTACTGCGGCCATCGGAAGTTTCCGATGGACTTTCAAGCGTACGTTCGAGGGCTTTTTGGCTCTCGATGCTGCATGTCCGCGCTTGTGGCGCGAATAGACCAGGCAAGCTCCTAAACCCTGAACCCAAGCTCCCTAAACCCGACGCTGAACCCTAAACCTTAAACTGAACTCAGCAGCCAGGGCGTCTTACGGGTCGGACCCCACCTTGAGTTGCGACCTCCCAGCCTTCTCGCAGCAGGCTACGTTTGCCGGCCCTTCGGAATTCCTTTCTGCGAGGCCTGCACAACCCTCAGCTGCAGAGGGCCCCTGATAGGTCCCTTAAAAAAAGGCCTAAACCCTTAAATCTCCCACAGGGGACATGCACGGTTTTGCAGCAGCAGCCTCATGCAACTTGACATGTCTGCGACGAAGCGGACCTCGAAATTGAAGATCTCGGACTTGCAAGAGGAGCCGTTGTTCCTTACTCTAAAATCTCGAAGGCCGAGACTGTGCCTGTTTGGTCTGCTGGGGCTGGGAGACGGTTGCGAGTACAGAAGCGGCCCACATCGCTAACAGAGCCGAGGGAACTAAGCATTGCACCTGCGAGCTGCGGCCCTCATCCACACCTGCGAGGTCGAACCGCAAGGGTTGCAGCGGGTGGGGCTTGTGCGATTTGCCTGAGTTTTGCGCGTCTGGAATAGACCCCAGCAATCTTGTGCTAGCAGCGAGAAGGAGGACGTGCAGGTCAAAGAATATGATTGTGTGCCGGCGGACTTGTAGCTTACTGTGCAATCCTGCAATTGCAAGGATGCCATTCCAGAGCAAGTTATGTTCGGTAACTCGCCTTTTAAGAGCGGAGACGTGCTTGCAAAAACAAGGCAACGAAAGCACATGCTAGAAGCACGCAGATCACGTAGGGCCAGGCCCACACAACTCGAAGCGTCCTCAGCTTCCCGGGGATCCGGGAGGCTGCGCAGCACTGCTTTTGAAAACTGTCGTTGCTGGGTTCCTAAGCCGCTCTTGGCCTCAGCCCTCCTGTTCCGCGACCTGCTTTTTAGCTGCAAGTCTGCCTGCTCGTGCGGAGTGAAGGCTTGGAAGGTGACCGCAGGGTCACCTTGACGTGTTGGTGCGAGTTGGGTTCCGGAGCCACTGTTGGCCTTCGCCGCGACCCGTTCTTTGGATGGAAGTCTACCTGGACAGCCTCCTGTGAAGTTAAAGTTACGAAGGTGACCGTCGGGCCGTCAAACAGAGGATGCAAGTTGGATAGGAAAACTTTCGGAAACAACATCATATGCCTACTAAACAAGCACGTATCAGTTACATTGAGGTCGACTTGTTTCTCAAACACAGTGTCGTGGACACAGTCACAACTTCAGAAGATCACCCCTAAAAACAGCCATCAGCGGACGCTTCGCCTGGCAATCGGAGGGGAGTGCTGCCATATTTACAGATCGTTCCAGACCACCCCTGGCGGGAGCGGGTACCCCGCCGGCGTTGTCGCCACTGGTGCTGGGACTGAGGCTGGCTCTTCGGAAGCGGCGGCGGCGTCTGCTGTGCTGGGCCGTCCCTCGACCCACTCGACGGTTCCGACCCCATTGGCATATCCATCGACATAGGAACCGGGGGCGGTGGCGGGATCGGAAGGTCTCGCCTGGCCATTCCCCGGGTCCCCCATGCCCGACACCGTCTTGTCCACCAGCTCCACCACGCTCCTGGACTCGGCCTCGCAGACCCCCGCAGCAACCCTCAACTGGTCGTCGGAGTCCTTGTCCCGAAGATACGTTTGCGTCTCTGCCTCGGCGGTGCGCTTCTTCGGCGCTCCCTTGCGCCTTCGAGGATAGGCTCTCCAAGAGGAACCCAGAGGAGGATTCGTAACCAAAGCCCCGGCCCTCGGCTTCAAGCGAATGCGCGGCCCCGCTGGCAACTGGGGCATTGCTTTCACCTTCGGCTTCCTTGGCATGGGCTTGACCTCGGGCGTCTTCACCTTCGCGATGCTCCCCTTCTTCACCTTGATCCTCGTATCCGGGCGCTCCATCGCCGTTGCCTCGCTGGGTGCTGCCTCGGAGTTCTCCTCGACAGTTGACTGATAGTCCGTGGCCAACCGTGCCAACACCGGTGGCACCAGAACAACCCTCGTGATTTGGTTGCTCGACAGCGATCTATGCTTCGCTCCGTGGTTTTTGGGTCATCACTCTGTCACAGATCAAACAAAAGCTGACCAAATTCCTCGAGCCGGCTCGCTCAAGAGCTTGCGTTGAGGGCTAACCACGTCGCAGCCGACACATCTGTGAACCAGAACGTGCGTGAAAGTCTGGACAATGCCGCTCGAGACTTCAATTTGATGGCTCCTGGGCCTACGCCGCCTTCGCCCTTTTGGACCTTTCTCTGACCTTTTCGACACCGTTTTGGAGCTTCTTTTGCGCCTTCTTTAGGCTTTCTGTTGACTCCAGGTCCCTAAACCCCCAAGCCCTAAACTTTCAGTCTGGCGTCTGAGCCGTCGGAGCTTGTGAGGTCCTGTACAACACTAGCGAGGGATAGCGAGGGATGGCCTTTGTGTGCATCTACGAGGTCCAAAGGCAAGGGTCGCGATTGGTGGGGCTGGCGCTTTAAAGGGATCTATGAGGGTTCCTTCAAAGCGATCTACACAGGTTCCTTTAAAGGGATCTATAGGGGTTCCTTTAAAGGTTGCTTGTAGCTTCTATGCTCTCCAGAAGTCTTGTGTTAGTTTCTGGGTCCCCGCGGTGTACTCGATATCTCAAACCAAGCAAAATATCTAGAGCCAGGCCCACAGTCTGGCAGAGCTCTGGAAGTTCCCATCCTGCGCCGCGAGCCTCCGTTTTTGGTCAGAAGTCTGCCTGCTCGTGCGAAGTGAAGGTTTGGAAACTGACCGCGGGGTCGCCGTGACATGTTGGTGCGAGTTGGGTTCCGGAGCCGCTGTCTCGTCGGCCTGCCGCGACCCCGGCCCTTTTCTTGCTGAAAGTCTATGCTATGTGAAGATTTCAGGGTGAGGCGGCGAAGGTTTGGAAGATGACCGTTGGGTCGCCTTAAAGAGTCGGTGCGGGCTTTCTTCACGTCCCCACTTTCGCGGGACTCGTTCAGATGATGCAATGACTCAAGGACCACAAATTGAAGAGCTGCTGTGACAAGACGTATCTGAAGCCGGTTCGTATGAGAGCTTGCGTCGAGAGCTAACTGCATCAATGCCGATGCATCTGTGAGCCAGCAAGTGAGTTAATTTCTGGACGCCGCCGCTCGAGACCTCACCTGCAATATGATCGCTCGCGGGCCTTCGTTTGTTTCGGCCTCTGAACTTCGAGGAGCTTTTCTGCAACGGTTTGGAGCTTTTTTGCGCCTTTGTTTGGGTCTTCTGTTGACTCCCAGTCCCACGCCCGGCGTTGAGCCCTTGAAGCTGAGCTGAGCTGCGACGTCGAGCCTGCGTTTTTTTCCCGCGGCCCCAAGAACGCCTGCGAGGCTGTCTCTGCGGTTTCGGTGAGATCCCCAGTGCACTCTAAAGGCTCCATGGGTCTGGCTTTCGGATTGATGCCCTAAGATCCCGAAAAAGTCGGGGCAAAGCCATCCGACGCCGTCGTGCACCGAGGCTTCTGGCGCAGAGTCGCGAGCATCGAGCGGCCTGCTCCCTTCGGCTCCTTGGGAAAGGTCTGCCACAGGAGGGAGTAGGCAGGTTCTGAGGGTTTAGGTGTCCAATCTAGAAAGAGTCCGACAACTCGGAGGCCTTGCAGTTTGCAGGACATCTGTCAGGTTTCTATGGATTTAAGTTGCGAGATACCCCTGCAGCGACCTTGTGAACATACCGCAACATCAGCCGCTGGTGTTGACGGCTCGGATGTGCACCACGTCATGACAGGGTACTCATATCCGTGACTGTTGCCGTGGTGATGACACGGCAAGCACCAGTTGTCTTGCCCCTCTGCCATGAGTTGGACTTTGTGGAACAGCGGCGCGGCTGGCGGTGTCGGTTTTGCCGGAGTCCTTGAAGCCGCATAGTCGGGAGGCTGCTTGGTTTCGGTTGCCGCGGGTTTTGTCGTAGGGCCTAGGTCTTCGGTGTTGTGCGGCTTTGCTGAGTTTCCAGTCAACAACAACAGTTCCTCTTGCAAAAGCCGCAGGTCGGACACCTCGCTTGCGCAGTCTCAATCATATAGCAGGCAGGCGATAAAAAACAACAAGAGTGCCAGCGACACATGTTCGCAACACCCGTCCCACAAACTCTGAACGTGGGAATTCTGTCCGTGACCAGTTTGACTGTCACTCGACTCTTCTAGTGCCTTTATCTAGAAAGGCAGGGGCTCAATGCTGCCAGCAGCATGTGCTAGTGCTTGTGCAGTTTTTGGGTCTGATAGCCGTGAGGACAAGCGCACACGCTGTTGTCAGGGCCACTCCGCTCGAGAGCTCCGTGCTATTCTGCAGGCACCCAGTGCAGGGAAGCCAGTTGCTCTTTGATGCCTGGTGACTGGTGTTGCTTGCTGCTTGTTGGTGGGCTTGGGGCGACTTTGGGGGTCTTGGACCCCGGATCTCTTGGCTTTTTCTCTCGTCGAAGCTTTCTGAAGTTATGGAGCACGCCTTCGGCGCTACCAGAGGGGGAAGAGGTTCTTCAACTTTGACCCCTGCACCACAGACCGTGCTCCGCCTCCAGCGCGCTCTCAGCACAGCTGCTTAGCATGTCCTCGGCAGGGCCCTGGGCCGACGGCTGTCAAGAACAGCACCAGGAAGCCGTCGGTGGTGCGAGGTCTTGAAGATCCTTGGTTCAGGGCTGTTGAGGCTTGAACACCGGTTTTTGGATTTACACCTCAGACTCCAACATGTAGCAAAGACATACATAGGGAGTTCGGTAGTCGCGATGCAGGCGAAACTTCTCCGACCTGACCACTGGAATCTCGGCTTGGATGCATGATGCTGCGCTTGTGCAGAACGTGGAGAGCAGCGAGTCTCGTGGCGCCATCGCACAAGGCAGCTGGCAGCTGAGCCCTCTGCCTCTTCTCGCCAAGTCGCTCTCGCGCCGGCCGACCTCCGCACAAGCTACGTCTGCCACGGGGTGGGGCGGATGATGGTTGTTTTTCGCATCCCCTGGGACGTTAATGTGAGCTTCGGATTTGTCTGTGCCGGCAGACGGCAATGCTGCCGCGCTGTCGGCCACGCCGCACGGCATCCAAAAAGGCAGCAGCAAGAGGGCACTTGGACGTGCGACCGCTGGTCGCTGTATGAAGGCCTGTGTCACTTGCTGAACCACCCAAACCCCGAACCCTAAACGGCCCTAAACCCTAAGCCCTTAAAGATCTGGCTCGGGGCCCTGCGCTGCAACTTTCCGGACGCAACGTCGCTCTCAAAAAATCTGTCAGTTGCACTTCTGCTAAGGAGGCACAGAGTGGCCGAAGTCAGTTAAATATCATCTGTGGTGACGGTGACGATGAACGATCCGGATCACACAGCAGAAGAACATGAGAGGTCCCCGTTCTGTGGTAAGAGGTATGGTTCTTGAAGCTCAGCAGAGAAAGCCACGGCGGCCACCGGTATGCTCTTGGAAACGCCACGTGGGTGACCGGCTGTAGTAGGGCGGTGCCAAAAATGAGCTCCCCTTGGGCGACCGGCAGGTTTCTCGTAACCCCATCGGCCGCAGCAAAAGCACGGAGCTTCCATGCGGAAGCCACTCGAAGAGAAGGCGCCTTGAAAAAGCATGAAAGCTCTGCTTCTGGAGAGCGTCCTAAGCGCCTCACGTGCTGCTTCCTTGCTCGCTAGGCTCCTCGCGAGTCCTGCGCTCTATGGACCTTGTCCATCCTCGCCGCCTCTTGCAGCTTCTGCATTTTCTGCTTCAGTTTTGGCAAGGCATGCATCGTGCCAAGCAAGCTGCCCTTGATCTCGGTCCGAGGGCGCTCTCCGACTCTGCGGATGGCTGCCGTGGCAGGGGCTTGCAAGCTGTGTGGGCAGTGTCGATGCTGTGGCCGCCAGAAGCCGCTTGAAATCGCGAGCGCATGGCAAGACTCCTGGAATCCTCGGTTTCGGGTTGAAGATGACGAGCCCAGCGCTCCAGAAAGAGTTTCTAACCAAGGCCACCTTGTCTCTGGCAAGAGTGTAGTGAGCAGGTACAAAGGAGGTGGCTGGCCTCCGTCGTGCTAGAGTGGTAGGAGCTTGTAGACAGCGGACTATTTGCAACCATTTTCAGGGTGGTGTGAGCACTAGAAGACGATGACCACACCACCCGGAGCATCATGAGAATTTCAGGTGGTGGCAGAAAGACGAGAACAAGTTCGCTTAATGCGACACTGGCACATTGGCAAGTCTGCCCAATGTTTACGAGGCAGCAAGAGCTCTAGCAAGCAGCTAAGCAGGCAATTGCGACAACATGGCAAATGCAAGGCCTGAAGCGACGGTGAACCTCACATTGGCTTTCGCAAGCCGGGCCCCATCGGCTGTCCCTGAGGCCTTCTGCAAGTCGGGAGTCTGATGCCGGCTTTCTCCAGAAAGGGCCAGCAAGCAGCTGCCAGAAGGTGATAACCTAGGCTCGAAGTCTTATCACGTACGTCACACTTGAATATGCCTGCAACGAGCGAAACAAAGGTTTGTGCTCAAGAGTGTTGCATGGCCTTCTGAATCTAGGTTCGAAGTCATATCAGCTACATCGAGCTTGAATATGCCTGAAATGATTGTAAAAAAGGTTAGGGGCTAGATGTGTCTGCGTGGCCTTCTGACCCCGGATGCTTCCTCCGCAAGGCTTGGTATCTGATGCCAGCTTTCTTTAGAAAGGCACCAGCTAGCAGCTGCCAGAAGGTGATAACCTAGGCTCGAAGTCTTATCACGTACGTCACACTTGAATATGCCTGCAACGAGTGAAACAAAGGTTTGTGCTCAAGAGTGTTGCATGGCCTTCTGAATCTAGGTTCGAAGTCATATCAGATACATCGAGCTTGAATATGCCTGAAATGATTGTAAAAAGAGTTAGGGGCTAGATGTGTCTGCGTGGCCTTCTGACCCCGGATGCTTCCTCCGCAAGGCTTGGTATCTGATGCCAGCTTTCTTTAGAAAGGCACCAGCTAGCAGCTGCCAGAAGGTGATAACCTAGGCTCGAAGTCTTATCACGTACGTCACACTTGAATATGCCTGCAACGAGTGAAACAAAGGTTTGTGCTCAAGAGTGTTGCATGGCCTTCTGAATCTAGGTTCGAATCCATATCAGCTACATCGAGCATGAATATGCCTGAAATGATTGTAAAAAAGGTTTGGGGCTAGATGTGTCTGCCTGGCCTTCTGACCCCGGATGCTTCCTCCGCAAGGCTTGGTATCTGATGCCAGCTTTCTTTAGAAAGGCACCAGCTAGCAGCTGCCAGAAGGTGGTATTCTAGGCTCAAGGTCCTCTCGCCTGCATCATCTTTGAACACACCCTAAACCCTAAACCCCGAAACCCCAGGCCTAAAAGACATCCCTAAACCCGAAGCCGTAGACCTGAAATGAGTATAGTCCACACTTTTGGAGGCCGTGCTCCTGTGCTCCCGGCCTGCATTCAGCACTGCTTTACGAGAGCATTGCCTGGTGCCGCTCTTGAGTTGTAGACGAACTAAAGGTTAACTTTTTGGTTATATAAGGATTATACAGGGACTACACTACCCAAAAAAAATGTTAAAGTTTAAAGGCTACCTTTCGGAAGATGGTCCCACAGAACGCCTTGTTTAGGGTTGCAGCATTTGGGGCAAAGCTTAGGTTTTAGTGTGAGGCTTAATCGCATGTTCATGGTCTCATGTGTCCGGTCGCCGCTTGCAGCCTTCAGCTCACCTGGCGGATCCCGATGCAGCATGGAGCAGTCTTAAGATGTTCGAGTCCACAAACTTCCCTTAGTTTTTCACCTGGGTCTTGAAACTATGGATCAACGTGCGTCTGCGTTTTAACCAAACTTCGGGACTTTTGGAGGACGTGCTGGCCTTTGTACTTGCTTCCAAGTCCCGGAAGGCATGAGGACGAGCCCACGACGTGCTTCCCTTATGCGGGAAAGTCCGAACGTTGAGCTGCCCTTGCCACGGTGGGTCTTGGGGTACCGGCAGGACCAGCCACGCTTGAAGCCGAGGGCACACGTCGTGTTGCTTCGGAACCACATGGCCGCCAGGATGCCAGCGATTGCAACGCCCTGCCTGCAACTGTTGGGCGGGACTCAAGACTTTCAGCTCTCATCGCATCATCGCTTTGGGCAGGAATGGAAGCATCGGGCGCATGTTCAGCTGCCCAGAGTAGTAGTTCTCGATCGGGCGGCTTGTCACGGGCCCTCGCGGTTGGAGTGCGGCCAGACGCAGTTCTTTTCCTGCTGCTGTCGCGTCGTGCAGTGCTTGGGTTGGAATGGAAGGGCTCCGATGCCGCCCTCATCGCTTTGCTTAGGTTGTCCGAAGCTCAAGGGAACCGAGCACCGAGGGCACCTTCTATGCCGAATCTGGAAGTCTGCTGAAGGAAGCTTGAGGGCCCTGGTGTCTTAGATTGGAAAGGGACACTAGGCTCTTAGCCACATTCAACCATTGTGTGTCAGCTTCCAGGAAACGCAGACGAAAAAGTTACAGCATTCCTGCCAGACATAACATGCCTGAAGACATGTTGGTACGAATATCACTGTAATTCGCTGGATTTCAGTATCAATGTTCAATTAAAATGGGGTTTAGGTCATGCTTCCAGGATTTCCTGATTCGGAATATTGGTCAGTAAAGCCTAAAACTCGATTCTAGTTGCTTCCCTGTCTCTGGTCCTAAATCACGTCAAAGGCGACGTTAATTCCCGAGTCTGGGGGTTTAGGGTAGTGCAATGACATCGACCTCTGAACCTAGATCTATATGGGGGTTTCCGAAAATTAGGGGTACTTGATTCTGGGTCCGTATAGCAAGGATCCTACTATTTAGGGTAATACACTAAGGTCCCCTATTCTCGGAAACTCCCATATCTTCCGTGGCACGTAACCGCTTAAGATCGAATTAAAATCCGCCAGGACCTCTAGGCCGGTGGGTTTAGGGTTCAGGGATTTAGGGTTTAGGGATTTAGGGTTTGGGGATTTAGGGTTTAGGGGGGATTTAGGGTTTGGGGATTTAGGGTTTAGGGATTTAGGGTTTGGGGCTCTAGTGCTCTTGCACTATGCGAACACTTAAAGTCGAATCCAGTTGTCCTCGACCTTTGAATCCAGCAAGAGGGTATGCAATCAAATTTCCCGGTAAAGGCTGTTACGAGGATCCTTAAACCCTCTGTCTAAGGCGTCTCTACAAGGGCTCTATGGAGCTCTTCAGGTATTTGAACATAGGGTTTCGAGGAAAAGGTTCCGGGCTGGAGGGTTGCAGGTTTGAGGGGGTTTGGGCTTTTAGGACCATGGCCTAGGGTTTAGGGTTTAGGGTTTAGGGTTTAGGGTTTCATGAGCTGCTTTGAGCTTGGCAGTTTTGCTTAACCGGCTGGCACTCGTCACTAGCCCTATAAACCCCACATTTGCAAAGTTGGATCCCGCTCCCCACATTCCACACCCACAGTGCAGCCCCGAAGTGTGCAGGAACATTGAAGACTAAACTTCTTAATTGGTACCTCAGCAATGACAACCCCTAAACCCTAAAGCCCGGAGGTCACAACAAACCCGAAAGTCCTCCAACCCATGATTCATGGAAGCAAATTCAAATGATGTTTCTCATCGCCCACAGTTTAAAGAAGATGACGAACAGTTGAATAATTGAACAGAAGCTGTGTAAGAGAGCTCATTCCGCTTTGTTGGAACATAAGATATCTTGTAAGGTCATGCGATGTTATATGATTTGGCTTTGGTGTTGAGGGTTTTTTTGCTTTGCTTAGCATGGGCAGGAAAGCTACCTTTGCGGATGGGCTGTGCTTTGAAAGCTGTGTAGTTTTCGCAGCCGTCATTCGAGGCCCCGGCAGATAAGCAAGATTCTCCACTCGTCGCACTGGCTCAGGTCATGGCGAGCAACACAGGTTCTCATTAGCAGCGATGCTCTAGCCGTTTGTTGCAGACATTTCCTGTTATCATTCAGCGGAAGTGTTGTGTTCGTTTCCGGCCATGCTTACACCAGACCCATCCACAGCGATGCTAGTCGCATCCATTCTCCAGCGGCGCTTTCCATGTTTGAATCAGGCTGACCTCGCTGCCGTGCTGACTGCCGTGTGATCGTTTGACCATCGTTTCAGATGTGA